GACTTGTATCGCTAAAGTTTCTTCGGACAGAATTTTTACGGAAAATTAACTAACGACAGAAACGTAACAATACTTTTCTGTGTATACATTTTTTGTTTTTCATTAAGCCTACCTTGGGTTATTATAGCTCAACACAGAACTGGAGAGTATGAATACTTGTACTCTTTCACTTTATAGATTTTTTTATTTTGTGCTGAATATTCTTTACAAGTAGGCTGAACAACAAATGTTCTTACACCTGAATATATTTTTTTAGTTACAAAATATTATTTTAATTCTAATTTAATCACTTAATGATATAAAAAACTTGTTTAAGACTTTCCATTCTATAAGTTTTCTATAACTATTCTGACAGTAGATGTGCTATATTTCTAAACTTATCTCAAAAATACTTACATAATCCTTTAACTTAAATCCAACCAAAGTAAAATGTCCAATATGATATGGACAAAATGCTGTTGGAAAAAAAAGTAATTTTACTCTTTCTCTAAAAATACTGAAGTGTTAACACATCTAAATTTTCAACTTCATCTAGAATGCACAACTCATATATCAACTGCTCAGAAAGAATTCACTAACAGAATTATAAAAACAAGTCAGCCAATTTTATTATTATAAGACATTGAACACTGTCAAGTTTTCTTCCTGGCTGACTCTAATGTATTATTTGTTTTCTATTTTATTGCTTTAAACTGCTTAATTCAAGTTTTTACAAAAGGAAATATTTTTTTTTCTTAAAATTAACTATTTTTTCACAATACAACTTTCAAACCATTACTTATTTTTTCATATTAAACTTTCTTTCCAAAGAACAACTAGACATAAAAAATAGATAAAGCATGATGTATATAGCAATTCATGCTTCTCAAGATCCCCACCTATGATCATAAAACATTAAAACATTTGCATCTAAAATGTAAAACAACCACATAACAACATTTGGTATTTTAAATTAATGTTATATCAGATTGTTAGTGCATATACACAGGTTGAATATCTTAAAAAATTCTAAGGTCTGTATTATACACAAATTTATCAACACTTACCAAATACAAGGATAAACAAAGTGTTGAGAGAGACCACCCAAAACACATGTTCCTGTAGAATTAAACAAGATTATACAATTACATTACAATTTTTATAACTTTACAGAAACTAGATAAGATAGAAAATGTTTAGTATTTTGTAACCTGGATTTAATCTTTATATAAAGATAATACTACTGTTTGTTCTATGTCCATGTAACTACTTCGTAAGGTGTGGATGGATCTTCTCCAAAATTGGTATGGAGGTTCATTGGGTCTATGGGGAGATACATACAAATTTTCAATATTACATTTTGGGTTTTTATGGCCATTTTTTACCACTACTTCACCCTCTGTTAATGGATCTTCACCAAATTTAGCACAAAGGTTTGTTGGGTCCATGGGGAGATACATACAAATTTGCAGTTTCAAATTTTGTGTTTTTCAGTTTTGATCAGCATTTTTTATAATTACATATAAGGAAAGCAACTTTCCATGTCCTAAGATAACCTTTCATTAATCATGAATTTACATAACGTCCATCCAGGGGACGGGTACTCCAGCTAGTGTTAAATAAATTACATGTCTTTCTATTTAGTGCCTGTTTTTCTATGTCTTGAATATAAATATCAAACAGATTGCAAGTTTTTTTATTTAATAATCTAGATAATTTAAAAATATTTTAGTAAAATACAAGTGTTTTACTTTTTCATAATAAATACAATATTAATATCTTTGGTACAGCACCTGGGAATAACTTCCTTAAGAAATTGGAGCATAACTAATCTGGTGATATACAATTTTGAAAGTTTAATTAACTGCTAGCATACATAACTGTTCTAACTAGATTCAACAAAAAAGTAATCTTGAAATTGTAGTGAAAAGAAATTTAAACAAGCACAGCAAAATGTTTGCAAATGTTTATTGTTTTTAAAGTTAACAAATACAATACTTGTTACTATTAATATTAGAAGTAAGTGAAAATCCTTACCAAAAACACCAGGGAGCCATCAAGCCCAAGAAGCTAAATGCAAGAAAAGATTGTCGTCATTATAAGATAAAGGTTTCTACTCTATTATGATTAATATACATTTTCATAGGAGATTTTCTTGTCTTATCATTGTTTTCTGCTCACTCAAATGAGTTGAATGTATTAAAATCTCTACACTAGAGTCCAACCAACAGATTTATTCATTTTAGGTTTACTTTTCTCAATCGAAATGGATTCTTTAATCTTTCAATCTGCCGTTATCTGCTTTTGGTATCCCATGTTATTTATCATAATTCTTAGTAATAGCATTATTAGTACTGATATATTGGATGTCACATACACGTTCAGGTATTTTATCACGGATGGGTCATCATGTTTTTCTAATACACATAACAGAGCATCTGCAAAATGTTATTTCATAAATAGCATTCTTACAATGTCACCAATCTTGTAGACCATATTTAATGCTCATATACTTATTTTTTACACTGAACTTGTTATTAAGAATTAAAATGAGATGCTAGTTTTGGTACTATCTTAATATGTAAGTCTGACTGTGCTGAACTTGTTATTAATAATCAAAATGAGGTGCTAGTTTTGGTACTATCTTAATATGCAAGTCTGACTATGCTGAACTTGTTATTAAGAATTAAAATGAGATACTAGTTTTGGTACTATCTTAATATGCAAGTCTGACTATGCTGAACTTGTTATTAATAATCAAAATGAGGTGCTATTTTGGTACTTTCTTAATATGTAAGTCTGACTATGCTGAACTTGTTATTAATAATTAAAATCAGATACTAGTTTTGGTACTATCTTAATATGCAAGTCTGACTATGCTGAACTTGTTACTAAGAATTAAAATGAGATACTAGTTTTGGTACTATCTTAATATGTAAGTCTGACTATGCTGAACGTGTTATTAAGAATTAAAATGAGGTGCTAGTTTTGGTACTATCTTAATATGTAAGTCTGACTATGCTGAACTTGTTATTAAGAATTAAAATGAGATACTAGTTTTGGTACTATCTTAATATGTAAGTCTGACTATGCTGAACTTGTTACTAAGAATTAAAATCAGATACTAGTTTTGGTACTATCTTAATATGTAAGTCTGACTGTGCTGAACTTGTTATTAATAATGAAAATGAGGTGCTAGTTTTGGTACTATCTTAATATGCAAGTCTGACTATTCTGAACTTGTTATTAAGAATTAAAATCAGATACTAGTTTTGGTACTATCTTAATATGCAAGTCTGACTATGCTGAACTTGTTATTAATAATTAAAATCAGATACTAGTTTTGGTACTATCTTAATATGTAAGTCTGACTATGCTGAACTTGTTATTAATAATTTATTTAAACTATAACAAGGCTAATTTGCTTTTAGACTATTGCAACATATGTTGTTAATATTTGTTAAAATATACCTAGATTAATGTTTCTAAGCCAGTTTGTCCTGCAGTTTGTAGTTTTTCCTATAAAATGTAACACAATTAAATACGGTTCTTGGGTAGTATTATTTTATGTGGCACGCTATATAAAATGATACAAGATTGCCTTAATAATATATTATTAATATATATGAATAATATACTACATTTTGATATGCAAATTATTGTATGTTTCAATAGTTTACTCTAGAGAAGAAAGTTTGTAATTGATATTCTTCATAACTGTGATTCTCCTGGAATCAAGTTATCTAAAATATATTTTGAACTAATAATGTGTCTGTTAAAAAATGTTATAATTTCAACCTTGTAATTGTAAGAATTAAGTATGTTATTTTTTTGTATTGAAATAAAGTTTGTTTTTGAAACTAAATATTTATCAAATTTACAGATGATAATAACTGGAATCCGATCGAGTGGGACAGGGCTGCTGAAGAGCTTACTTGGGAACGTGTGAGTTAATTTTACTTTGTCGTGTTTCACACGGTTTATTATATATGGATATATTAACCTGTATTAGATTTTGAACAAACATAGGTGAAATGGGCAATAACAGTCTAGTACAGCATGTCTTTTGTGGTGAAAGTCTTTTGAAACATCATCCTTCTCATCTGTGCTATCTCTAGTCCTCTGAGCCTTTTTCACAAGTGTCTTATTGCACTAGGCAATTACTACCTATATCATCTTTGTTCATCTATAAAATAATACTTAAAGAGTTGTATTAGATGTTACTTTGTATATAGTGGGGATGTGATATATCTACTTACATATTAAATTACTGAAATATATGGCATTCCTGAATGAAAACCACTTATACATAAACCAGTCACGTCAGTAGTAAATGTATAAAAGTATGAATAAATTATGTTTAACCTTATAATATTACGATAGTACCAAAACTAGCACCTCATTTTGTAAATTAAGAAATTGAGAAAAGTATAATACTAAAATCTGAATTATAATCTACAATTTGATACTAAACTTATTGTCATAAATTCATGAAATAGTAGTTCAATAAAATTCGAATGCGAGTCAACAAACACGATGACATGACCTTTCACCCACAACCCGTCTGGTAAGGGTTGGCATATGTTAACATATTAAGTAGATGTAAAAAAAACTCAGCTAAATATCGATTTTTGTGTGTCATGTGGTATGTTGAATGCAGCAATGGTTCAAATTAGATGTTTGTGATGTCAAAATACTAAGTCTGTAGTTTCATACAACTAGGAACTCAAATTACCGATATAAACAAGCTAGAATATAAAATATGAGCATCTTATATTTTTAATTTGATGAGATATTGCTCATGTAATAAATAAAACACAGTGTCACCCTGCCCACCTCTTTCTATTTTTGGAAACGCTCCCTTATATTCACTTACTTCTATATATGACATGAATAACCAATTGAAACCTCAGAATGTTCCCCTAGTGGCTTTCTCAGCCATTGTAATGGACTTGGCGTCATTTCTTTCTTTTTAACCAATATTTCAACAAGGTAGGGTGTGTCTTTAGTCTGCTCGAAAATTTCGTATTTTTTTGGACAAAATACATCTTAGTTACTAAGCTTGATAAATTATCGTAGAATTCTATGGTATTAATGTAGTAATTTATGATTTTATAGTTATTCAAATGTATATATAAAATGTAAAAAAATATATTTTGTTTCATATCCTCCAAGTGCAAAATTTTTAAAGGCATAGCAACCTACATCAAGCAGCAACCAAGTACAAAGGTCGTAACTAAAAGGGATAACTGTTTGCTTTACTTCTTTATTTACTGTTCCATGTTTTAGGATAAATGTTTTAAGAACTTATTTCAAAATAGCAATAACTTATATACATATATAATAATTGAAATATGACTGTATTTTACAAAATACTAGTCTACTAAAACACAGCCAAGACAAGTTACTTTATACAGACCAATGGTCAGTTTTATATTATTGGATATGGTAATATGAGTGCACATGTGCTGTGTCGTAGTTTCTGTATTGTTAGCCAGGCACGGCTGAAAGGTCAGTGTAATAAATATATATAAATGTACAATGTTATGACATTTAAGCTATTTAGTCTAAACATTTGTGTTTTTGTGATATAATTTGTGTTCATTTTAGAATGAAAGATGCATAATCTATATTTATTTCCTAATTTTTTTTATGGTGGTGGCAAGATTGGTCAAATCTACCAAACCCATACAGAGATTAATTACTGAAAATAAGAGATAAAATATAAAGTTTTTTTATTAAGAAACAGTTGATAACTATCTCGACATTATAAAGACTTGTGAAATTTCAAAACTTTCTGACACACGAAAGTATTTTTAATTTTAAATTGAATATTACTTTGCATGATAGATAAGCAACATGCAAAAAGAAAAATGGACAAGAGAAAACCATTGCTTTATAAATCTTAAGACTTAATAAAAAAAATCTGAGATTTTTGCATATGAAAGCATATTAAAGTTTACTGATAATCTGCCAAATGTTGTTAACATTTGTTTACTAATTTAAAAGTTATAGCAAGAAAACTATAACAAGCACAAAATGATTACGAGGTCGTTCCAATGAACAGAGCCCATGCTTAAAGAGTTAAACAACACACTACCTTATAGCATGTACGGGGTCGGTCAATTTGACTGATTTACGTTACCTTATGTACTCGTTTAAAGTTGATATAAATTTAATACTTATAACTCTCAATATATCGGGCATATCTTCACAAAATTTGGCAGTCTTTCAGTTAATATTACAAGTCCTTCACAATCAAAAAATCATATTTCTTAGTGAAGTATTTTTAATAAAATAAGATAAAGATTTATCCATGAATATATTGAGTATTTGTTTTGAATAGTACGTGTGCAAAGTAATTTTCATGTTAAAATTAAAAATACTTTTTGTCAAATATCTCAAATTTCCTTTGTGCAATCCCTAAAACCTAAATGCATTTCAAACGTTTTTTTCAGTAGGACTTTACAGCTTATATGTTATTTTCTCTATCCTATCTCAAAACAGGATCAGTAAAATCGACCACCAAAAAATAAAATTGAAATAAACCTAAATTACCCATTTTTTTCTTTCTAGAATGACTTCAAATTGTAACATGAAACTTTCGTTTATCCTAAGTAGCTCTAAGTTTGTAACATTATACATCTTTTATAATTAAATTTTATTGTCCTTGAACCATGTCTTACTAATATCCGCGCCATTATAAGTTGTTTTTGTTTATGAATTTTCTGGCAAAGCTACACGAGGGCTATCTGTGCTAGCCGTCCCTAATTTAGCAGTGTAAGACTAGAGGGAAGGCAGCTAGTCATCACCACCCACCGCCAACTCTTGGGCTACTCTTTTACCTACGAATAGTGGGATTGACCATCAAATTATAACGTCCCCACGGCTGAAAGGGTGAGCATGTTTGGTGTGACAAGGATTCGAACCCCTGACCCTCGGATTGTGAGTCAAGCGCCCTAACCACCTGGCCATGCTGGGCCTATTATTATAAGTTGTAAGTCACTCGGGGAACATGCAGCTCACATTACGCTATTGAATTACATTACTCACAAGTTACTCGCATGTGTGCCTCGTGATACATTTTAATTATATTATTATTATTACTTATTTTACGTAATCTAGTCTTAAATAATTTAAAAAGATCCATACTTTTAATTTTAGTTACTTTTATAGAAATAAATAAAGAATAAATATGAAAAACAAATAATAAAGTACTTACCCAATCTTCTTTTTTCGTATCCTCGATTGTTGAGGAGAGTTAAGCCTGATTTTTATAGTAAGTCATTTAATAATTTTTATTTAATTAAATAA